GAAAAGAAACCCCTGCAGGGCAAAAAAGACTTGCAAAGCAGAAATGAAAACCCCTTGAGGGTGGAAAGGAAACACACAGGGCAGAAAGGAAACCCTCGTAGGGTCAAGAAGTGACTCCTGCAGTTCGACGACAACCTTCCTCAGGATGGAAAGGATACCCCTGCAGGGCAGGAAAGAAACCCCTGCAGGGCAGAAAAGAAACCCCAGCAGGGCAGGAAAGAAACCCTGGAGGGCAGAAAAGAAACCCCTGCAGGACAGGAAAGAAACCCCTGCAGTGCCAGAAAGAAACCCTTGGGCAGAAAACCCTGCAAGCAGAAAAGAAACCCCAGCAGGGCAGGAAAGAAACCTCTGCAGGGCAGAAAAGAAACCTCAGCAGGGCAGGAAAGAAACCCTGCAGGGCAGGAAAAGAAACCCTGCAGGGCAAAAAAGACTTGCAAAGCAGAAATGAAAATCCCTTGAGGGTGGAAAGGAAACACACAGGGCAGAAAGGAAACCCTCGTAGGGTCAAGAAGTGACTCCTGCAGTTCGACGAGGACCTTCCTCAGGATGGAAAGGATACCCCTGCAGGGCAGGAAAGAAACCCCTGCAGGGCAGAAAAGAAACCCCAGCAGGGCAGGAAAGAAACCCTGCACAGGGTGCCTGCGCAGGGTGGAAAAGGAACCCTGCACAGGGTGGAAAAAGAACCCTGCACAGGGCACAGGGTGGAAAAGGAATCCTGCAGGGTGGAAAAGGAATCCTGCACAGGGTGGAAAAGGAATCCGGCACAGGGTGAAAAAGGAACCCTGCACCGGGTGGAAAAGAACCCTGCACAGGGTGGAAGAAGAACCCTGCACAGGGAGAACCCTGCACAGGGTGCCTGCGCAGGGTGGAAAAGGAACCCTGGCAGGGCAGGAAAGAAACCTCCGCAGGGCAGGAAAGAAACCCTGCAGGGCAGGAAAGAAACCCCTGTAGGGCAGGAGAAAAACCCTGCAGGGCAGAAAACAAACCCCGCAGGGCAGGAACAGAAACCTCTGCAGGGCACAAGCCTCCAGGGCGGAAACTACCATGACTGCACAGGGCGGAAAAAAAACCCTGCAGGGCAGAATGCAGGGCACAAGCCTCCAGGGCGGGAACTACCAGGACTGCACAGGGCGGGAAAAAAACCCTGCAGGGCAGAATTAAAACCCAGCCCAATCCCACACTATTGTTCCAACTGGTGTTCCAGTGTCAGGTGATGTTCAAGAATAACCCTAGCCAAACACACACACACACACACACACGCAAACAATCATTGGCATGTCAAAGGCAATCACAAACAAGAAAAACAACAATATTGACAATATACGCACTTGATGAAGTCTCAGTGTTCAATCAATTTGACATATGACAACCATATGATTGCAAAATCAAGGAACACCACATCATAAAATACACAGTGTAGCTTTTAATAGAACAACACGTTGTTGAAGCATAATAATGGTTGCTTTCGAAGGAACCATATTAATGTACATTGTATTTTAAACTCGCTGACTACTCATACACAAAGGTGTTTGCAATAAGTAAGAAACAACATGCAGTCTTGACATTCAATGATGGAACAAAAGGATGGACAGTAAATGAACATGGTGATAACATGAACAATGTGCAACTGTGCATTGAATTACAACATCGTTGAAACCGAGAGGAGTTGTGAACATCAAGAACTACCAATTCAAGATGAACTGATGCTAACATTACAATAGATTACAATCTATATACAGTATTGAAAAAATAGCCTTATGATGATTAGGAATTGACTAGGAATGAACTATCTGGCACATATTGTCTATAGGCACCGAACAAAAAACTGGACTTTGCGCGGGACAATCAGTAATTAGGTGTTTTAGCATACAATATTTGGTGATGTCTACTTAGAAGCTTTATTAACTGGTAAGGTATGTTTTTGTTGTTTGCACACATATTGGACAAACCAAGCATAACAACGCATAATTGCATCAGGAGAACACGAGACATTGAAAAGACTCGGGAAACTCAGGACATAACCAATGCTACATAACCTTCATGCCGACCTTATCAATGACACTAGAAATCTCTTCACACAACATGTTGTTAAACAAATCACACAAAAACAACATGTAATGTAAGGAAAACATGGGCAGCATAAATATAGGCAGCATACATACTGACATTCGTGACAATATATTACCTATATGGTGCCTGCTACCGCTATTCTGCGCACGAACATTAATCCAAATTAATCAATCTAGGTGTTTTTCTCAATTTATATCGCACATCGTTTGATCCAAACCACATCGTCTTACAGCAAATCCTCCAACCTGTACAGCTCAAAACGAGCCCTTCCATATCATTTACATTAAAATTCATTTACAATATGTTTTTGTCTGCTCTTGTCTTAAGTTGTGTACACCTGGGCTAAAAATTGATCCTACACAAAAAGAACGCCTGGGCTCAGCTCCGCGACTCCTGCCACTTGGAAAACAAGGACTTGGCGCAGCTCGTCGGGACGAAGAACATCTTCGGGTCCGATCGCGGCGCACAGACCTCGGGGCTTTGCACGTTCTCTGCTCGGTTGACGCGTGAGTCTGGGCGTGAGTCTGTACATGCCAAGTGGTTGGAACTGAAACCAAAGTGTTTCTGGTTAGTGGGTACTGTGCTTCTAGGTTGGGGTGCCCCTAGCTGACAGGATGGATTCGATGGATTTGGGGTCACAAGTAGAGTAGTACCTCAAAGTCTTTCGGACACGCACAACATCCAACACAGGACTCACTTGAGTTATCGCTCAGGACTTGCCGCCTCGCCAAATCCTCCGAGCTTTTGGACACCAAGAGGTGGGGCCAGAAAATGGCCAGCCCTTGAACCACGAAATCCACTTGAAATATCTCCTTTCCCCACATTCGCCTGGTGGAGATATCCCTCTGACGAACATATCACAGAAACTGAACCCTAGGAATACAAGTTTCCTGTACAAACAGTGTGATTTCCACTAGTGAATCGTACTTCTTCTCTTAGAGTCCACAGCTGCAAACTGATGGTGTCCATAGGCTTGGCAGTTCGGCAGACTCTGGCATGGGTTTGTTGTCGATGTCCTTACTGCGAGAATGTGTTGATTCTGGTTCCCTGTTCTTGGAGCGGCCTTTGCGCAGGATCTGAGTACATCACAATACATCACACATAGCCAACTTCAGTCATGAGGGTTCTGGAGATATGCAGCACAACTCCCCACACAAAAAGAAACTGAAATGGCCAAACGCCTGCCCCGCAAAACCCAGGTCGTTGCAGGATCTCCCATCGATCGTAACCCGGTGGCACGTCCCACTTCTCTGAATCAATCTTCGTGCCGCGTTCATTGTGTGTTTGACACAAGTCATCTGAAATGAAGTCTGATGGTAAGTATCATACCGCAAGTTCAAAGTACCACTTGGCATCCACTTTGCCACCTCACCTCTGTGTGCCTGGAAGCCATCGGAACAAAACAGTTCATTTATGTTCATTTGGATAGTTCGTCCGACAAAAAAGGCTTCTTGAGGGGCGCTTGTCGCAGCTGGTCCATGTCATGGACTCCCCACATCAGATTCCCCCCCATGCATCTCCATCTTACATCTAGGTTTGCCCACCGAGCTTGGAATAGCCTGAGGCAGCGGCCGGTGCATGGAAGATAAAAACGCGGGGTTTTATCGTTTGGAGCCACTCGCAGCGGGCTTTGATACAGTAGTAGCCTAGATTATCCTAGATTCGATATCAATTGGAGCCTTTAGGGGAATTCCATGGAATTCCAAACAATTCAAGAGGTTTCATACAGAATTCATATCCAGCAAACGAAGCAGCAGTATCACCCTTGAAACCCATAGAGGTGGTCTTGAGGCAAGCAAATATGATACTTCAAGATTAAAAGAGCCACAGTAAGCTGACGTCTTTCTGGTAAAATTATTTGATATACCGAGTAGTTCTTCATATTCATGTATTGACAACCAATGCCACAAGCCCGGATATCCCACCTAGAATAACAAACAATTGTTTATCACAATATTATGTATTGTTGTTTGCAACGCAGTGACGCAATTCACGGACTTCCTGATGCCGATTTGAGGAAGTAAACCAGGAAGTATGCAGGACACCACTATTATAGATCATGGAACCAAAGCCTCCGTGAAACAAAACAGTTCAGGTTTGGAGAACTGTTTGGATCCATGGAACCACTGATTGCATATGATTCAAACAACAAAAAGAGATGGATCAAAAGGTAATGGTGCATGAATCCACAAAACCCGTTGGTTTTAGCCTACACTCCCTAAAACAATTGTCCTTCAGAAACAGGTGGTTTTCCACTTCCACGATTTCAGAGAGTGTCTTTCTTCATTTCGGCAACACATCCACCGAAATGACCGGATCACATCCATCCACCGCGTGCTCTTCGCCTCACACCCGCCGTCGTGGCAGTTCGCATAGAGGCCCTCCTCGCGGAAGCAGCAGGGCTCGCCCTCCTGCGAGCGACGCGACCGGTCAATGCCGGTGGAAGAATCCATGTGATTCCTCTTCCATGAGGCCCGGGGCCCTGTGGAATCAGGGACAACCTGGGGTTCCATGAGTGTCTCATTTGATTCTTCTTCCAAACTCCAGGATGCGTCGTAGTTCGCCCAGAAGTAGGCTAGTTCGTGGGTGTCCAATAATAAATAACTAACTCAAGTGTGCCTGATCACTCGTAGTCGTACGCATGCTGACGATATTTGAAGGCAGCCTAACAGAAATGACACACATAAACTAACAAATGCGTAAACAATGACCAGGAATGGCACACAAAAGGAAACATCTTGAACATGGCAAAGGCACACGTGCAGCTACGCAGTCACCCAACAACGTACGCCAGAAACAGGCAAACAACATACCGCAACATACCAAAACAGCATCCAATAGAGGGAACATAAATTGCTGTCCACTGCCCATAGCCACTGAAAGGCGGATGTACTGCCCATAGCCACTGAAAGGCGGATGTTGGATCATCTACACCAATTCCAAACAGCTCAGAAATCAAGTAATAAAACACAAGAACCAAGTCCGTGCTTTGATCTCAAGAACCATATGCATGAACATCATTGGTCCCCTTTTGAGTCCAGCAACAAACCAAAGTGGCAAACCCATGTAGATTGCTGAAACTAATGTCTGTGCACATTGACATCCGGACCAAATAATAAGCACCACAGCTTCAACACCTTAGCCGTCGTCAGTTCATGGTGTATCAAAGTTTGTACATATACTTCTACTGCGTCAAATGATCAGCTCCATCACAAAATGTGAACGGGACGTCCCTGATGCTTTGAAATCACTCCCTTTGAACATTGAAGACCCTTGTGCCTTGGATCCCTCCGGTGGATGAACTCAGTGAACTCGGTCAACTCTCAAAGTTCAATATCAAGAAAGACAGCCCCAAAGAGACCATCAGAAGTTCGAAAGCCCTTTTACCCCCAATCAGAAGTTGGCCAGACATGTCATCTCACCACCCCTCCCACACCCCAGTCACATCTCCTGTGAGTGCCCCAAGCAGTCTTCCTCTTTGCTCAAGTCGCTACCTGAAACATGCCACCGGGAACGGGACAATGAGGGGCCACTTACCAGTCCTGGCCACCAAAAGGGATCGGATGTGCTGTTGGAGCATGACATCGAAGAACGGCCAGGACAAGTAGCCGCAACAATTACAGGAGCTTGGCACGATTGGCCAGTGGGAACTGTGATCCTTTTTGGACATCAGTTCATTTCTCAGTTTTGCGGATGGTCCAGCAATAATACAGGTTCGGCTTGTCATTTGTCATCAGTTTGATTCTTCACAAAACCGAAACATGCTTTGAACCTTTTGAAAGGGAATCCCTTTGAGGGGGCCACGTGGGCCCAAGATCTCTTCTTTTTGATTAATACGAGATATGGATTTGATGAAAAACGTGTGAGGCTTCACCGGCGACGTCTTCATCGGTGTGACGATGTAACCTCTCTGGTGAGCTGGACTGGCACCAGCAGCCCCGATTGGTCGATTGGTGGTTTAAAACCGGTTTCAACTGAAAATAACCTGTTCAATCATCTCAAGTAAAGGTGAAACATAAACATATCCGAAACCACCACCCAATATAGTGTTTCGGGAATTCCTCGTGATGTTCCTTCTTTCGCGGGGTGGGCGGGATTTCCCTGTACACGGGCAATGTCCGGCATGCCTTCAATGCGTCAGTTGCCGGTGACGTACGATGGATGATGTCCAAACCTATCGTGGCTGAACATCGGTTCCCTCGGGGGAAATGGCTGAACATCGGTTCCCTATGGAGCTTTACGGGCTTTACCTTCATAGAGGCTCCAAAGTCTCCTATCAACATGTTGAAGTCGCCGTTTTCCCTCTGACATTTGTTTTGCACCAAACTCTATGTCTCATAATCAATATTACTCACTGGAGCTCTTCAGTCAAAAACAAAATGCTGTCTACGAGTCTACCTCTATTCCAAGAGAAACAGCATAACAGTTGAACAGTAACAGCCCAGCCCAGCCATATTAAATATGTGTCTCCATTCTTCCCCATTCCCAGCACTTTTTCACACATTCCGGCTGGTTTAAACATGTTTAAACACACATACACACACGTACGTACGTCGCAAAACCGCCCGAAGGCGAGACGTCTTTGCCCCTGGCGGTCGCGTCGAACCGGGCGCCCCGGCAGGTGGCAGCCGGTGGCATCTGGTCTTCGATGGTGCACTGCTTGTCACCCTCGGGCGCTTCCTCTGCCTGTCAGATCCGGTGCAAACCCCGACCCGACGCGGCCTTGCGCTTCCTCCGCCCGGTGTGGGGCGGATCCGCCAAGTCCAAGAGGCCAAGAGTGAAGCAGAATTCGGGTTCGAAGACTTGAGTGCAATCACGTGTGACAAACAAAAGCAAAACAAGTATATACGGTATTTGCCGATCGGTTGGGGTGGTTGACCCGAGGTGAAGTGTCAGGCTCATAGTAAATTAATATGATTGAACGCAATGTGCAGACACACATAGATCGCTGGCAAGAACTAGATATCAGTTGTGATGGTCCACTCTAAGTGACATTACCACATACACACACACATAGTAGCTTCTTGTTACTACTAGTAACAGGTGCCACGCTAGTAGTAACAGGTGCCTTACCAGTAGTAACAAGAAGCTATTAGAATTAAAAATAAAGCAACGAAGACGAAAACGCACGTCGTCGTGGATCGGTCGCCCGGCCGATCAACACGACGAGGACGGTCGATGTCAGGAGTCGGAGTATTTGGAGGTGATTCCATGTGATTCGCATAACAAAAGCACTCAAAAACCGGCAAAAAAAAAGAACAATTATACAATTCTATTATAACTACATTCCATTATATTGTATCATATTAATACTCATATTAATTCATATTGTATTAGTCCCCCACGGAGTAGAACTGTCACCTTCAATTTAGGAGCCCAACAATGCACCTTTAACGTTGAACATTGCCGAACGTGGCCTTGCGGCCTTGGGGAAAAGAATCTGAAGGCAGCACGACGCTTCTCCAGGCAGCACACATCCTCAAAGTAAAAGTGTACCAAAACACACTTTTAAATCATATATACCTGATAGCACTAGGATGCACTAGGTCTCGCTTCCTGCTAATATCTGTCTGGGGCACTCTTGCACAGGGCCCCTAACACCTATATCATTATCATCCTATGATGCACTGGGCCCTGGAACAGCGCTGTTCACAGCAGTGGAATCGATGGGTCACATGGTGGGCCCATCGATGGCACAAGCTTGCGGGACACATCCGCGGCACACCCATCGGCGCCGATTCTTCGACATGTCTCGGCCCAGCACATGGGTCGGAACCAAACATCATCGTACTGGGGTTTTGGAGTCTATACACCACTGAACTGGGTGGTGCTGGTAGTCTGTTGTCGTCCTTGTTTTGACAAAACAAGAGAGTCTGGCGATGTCTGGCGAGTTGTCAAGTGGTGATTCACTTGCCACTTCGCCAGTGACCCAACATGTGGAGCCAGCCAGCCTTGATGTTGCCATGGGTGTGAAGGCAAAAGATCGGGCACGTGCACCTGATGGGGTCGCTGCGGGTGAACTCCAAATATTCCCGCATGGTTGACCACTCGCTTTCGCTTTCAGTATTTTCAGTGGTTACGACCAACACTCCAGGTTGGTCCAGTTTTTAAAGGGATGCTTTTGGTGTCCTCCGACCAAACATGATTGGGATCTTTGTTGGCTAGTTGGTGGGCTATTAATTTGCAAACCATGTGAGTTAAACACCTCATCTTTTGACCTTTCAAGGCTCCACTCATGCCACTATAAGACTATACCCTCCAAGTCAATGACCTCGTTAAACTTGTTCATGTAGAATTGGAGACAATGACCACTATTTACTTTGTTAGCACCTAGTTTTACTTGGTCCCACTAAAGTTCCGTTAAAGCAAAAAATGGTGTTCATGATCTCTTCAGGTGGTTTGGAAGGGAATCAAAGGCGATTTTGAGTGATATTCCAGGTGTTCTTGGTGGCTTTGAGGCTAAGTATTCGACATTAAGAGCAAAGAGGTCTGAATTGTTGGCAACTATTTAGCGCAACAGGAGCGTAACAGTTCTGTAACAACCCCCTCCAGGAGACTTCTAAAACTGCAAATGATCTTCCAACAACGTAACAGGAGCGTAACTGGAGCGTAACAGCTAGGTCCTTAGTCCCCTTAATGTTTGCAATATGTAATAACATCATACAAAATTGTGACCAGGATTTATAAATGTTTGACGCTTTTGTCAGTTGTGTTATTTGCATTAATTAAAACATTGGGTGCAATTTTGCAGGTTCTATGTGCTGTTAGTGCGGTGATGTTGAACTCGCTTGGATAAAAGGGCTTGGGTTCCGACAAACCAAAGGTACTCGTAAAACTTGTTCTTTTCGAAAAGTACTCGTTTAACTTGCACTTGGGACTTGCAGGGTATACTGTAGTAATTAGTTTGTGACATTTGTGAACCAAAAACCACCACAGATTCTCCACTGCTTGTACGTCTCTCGAAAGGCTACACCTTCGAAAGATTTACGTCTTCGGCCTTACCCGGGGTGCTGAGTCGACTTACCGACTCTGCGGACGCCGAGAACTCATCGGGCACGGTGCTACGGACCGACCGTGCGGGGTTGCTCCAGTCACCGATCTTCACTGTCAAATCGTTTGCTCCACGACGACCGATCTTCTGTTTCCTCGTTTGAATCACGATTTGAGTCCCTTCTCTGAGGGGTCACTGTCACCTGGATCTGGAATCTTGGCTCTTGATCTCCAATCTCCTGGGTCACCCGTTCGCCGTGGGTGACGGGGCTTTCCGATGCGTGGGACAGCCGGGCGTCCGGTCGGCCGGGCGTCCCGGAGTGATAACCAGTGATGAACTGGAGATGGCTCCTGCCACAGGCATCTAGAATCTAGTCCTGAGTCCGCACAACATCCCTTGACTGACGTCCCTGGCGTATCCTGGCGTCCCTTCTTAATGTGGATCTCTAATAGATTGAGATGTTGGACCATCCAAGTAGTGGGGGGGTTTTCATCAACGAGCGCTTGGTGGCCGCCGGAATCCCGGAATCAGGGACCCCCGACCCATCCGGTGACTCGTGGCACTGGCAATCCACTGCTGCATGGGCCTGGCCCGTGGCCGCTCGCTTCGCCGCCCGTGGGGAGAACCGAGGCGAGATCGCATGCATGTGGGACATGGACATTCACATGGTCTGAATCCACTTCCTCTTGATCTTCTTGTTGGATGCCAGATCTTTAGATTCATCATCCAACTGTTTCTCTTTTCGTTGTCTCTTCCTTTTCTGCTTCATGGTCTTTCTGGTCCTCTCCATCTGCTTCCTAAAACATCTAAAACAATCGGGATGGGCTTGAACTCGCACGTAAGCACCACCTCAATCTAAAAAAAGAATCAGACTCAAGCAAACAAACGAGCTCATGGACACAACCGGTCCACATTCCTCCCTCCAAGCAAACCCAGCGCGCCACTTCTGGCGTGGGGCAGGTGGGCAAGTGCCCCGGCTCACCGGCCTGCATGAGATCAGAGTAGGTGCCAGTACGTGCCAGCGGTTTTAAGTTTTCTGTGTACTCTTTGAGGTGGAGAGTGGGTCTGAAGCAGAATCCCTACGGTTCCAGGGCACGTCTTGATACGACACAAGCCAAACCAAACAGTAAAAGCCGGAGCTACAACTACAGGCTTTCTAAGCTTTTAGCGAAATCAGCCAGGTACCCCAAAACCAGTTGGCTCCCAGCTGGGGTCTATGTGTTCTGCATCCTGAGAAATGGCCCTTGGTACCGTCATTCACTCCAAAGATCAGCAAATTGTGAAAACCAGTGGTGCTCGTATTGTGTCCACTTCCCTTGGAAGTGAAGAACGCAAAAGCTAGACCTTGGTTCTCGCAAGATCAACCGGAAGACATAAACACATCTTAGCTAATTCATAGACAACCATCAAGTGTTTCTAAACATACAGGTTAATAATTTGTTTAGTTGAAGGCTCATTATTGCAGTTCCCCCTCATAGTTTCACATGTTCCAGCTTACACTAAATTATCTATATAAAGTGTGATGAAGTGATTTAAGAGCTTCAGTTTTCAGTGTTTCCATAATCTTCAAAGGCTAGGAACATGTTTGCTGGCTCAAAAAAAAACCGCTAAGTTATAAGGCTTAGAGGTCTACACTACACATGCCAGGTCCACATACCCCCATCACCACCCTCTCTCGCTCGCAAACTCTAAACCGTTCTTCGTGACGGGCCGCTCCTGCGGCTGTCGGCACACGGGCGCAGGCCCCAAACTGAGATCCTCTAGGCTGCAACTGCGGGGGCCCGGAGGACCTGGGAGAAGCAACACATTAAGCAACGCGCACACAGGCACAGATCGGGGCATCTGAAAATCATTCGATCACTAAATTGTTTGGAGATTTAATATATGCTTCATTTTAAGAGTCTCTTGTGAAGATGTTACGGGCTGGTGACCTGACTCTCAATCTCTACTTGTTTTGTATAATATTATTGTGTTAATGGACCAATCTGCTTGCCACGGATGCCCAACGACTCCAGTCGCGGACGTTCGGACCTCCACCATGGATCTCGAAGCCGGTCTCGCAGCTCACCGTGCAGTTGCACTCCTCGGAGCGCCGAAGCCGGGAAGTGGCCATGGTCGTTGGTGACGGTGGCCGTTGCGTTTTGCCTTGTTTTCCTTTGGTTTCGCCATTGGCGGGTGAAGTGAATGATGTGAATGAGATGTGAAGAGCTTGGTCCTGCATCCCCTCGTTTTGCGAAGGCACAGTGAATGACAACACAAACATGGCAAAAGCAAGCACACTGCAAGTTTCTTGCAGGCCTGTGATTGTTCGTACCCCAGGTACCTTTTGAGCCCATACATTCGGTCTCGTGGGACGAAGCATTCTCTGAAACGAGAGGTCGCCTGTAGCTTGGGCGCTACGTGGTTGGTATTCGAACAAAAATACGGCCTGAAGATTCAAGTGTTACTAAAACCGCCATGGCCATGTGTATTACCCTCCCCAAACTGACTCCCCACTGTTCCAGCCCGGAAGAACCCCGTCCTCGCCAGCGATGCAACTCTCACAGGCCGGATCCATCACGAGATTCCGCCCGGCCCTGGCACGGCACGGAAGCATCCCATTCACATCCATTCATTGAAGCCTCAAACAGGAGCAAGGACGCTACTGGGTGGAGGCTATCTCTAGTAGGTTGGAGGCCATCGCTGCTTGGGGAGCCTCTTAGGCATCCCATGCACGGAGCTTCGCATGGGGCGATCGTTCCACCATGTTCCACCGAAATCGCCATGGGTACCGAATAACCTAGCCTGTCCTGAAGAAAAACACATTTGGGAAGAAACATGAAAGACACTGCCAACTCTCCAACTCTTCGAGTGCCCCTTTCGAGTGCCGCACGTAACACCAAGTGTCCACCCCCCAAAGTCTGCGGATCGCGAGCGCATCCGGCCCCCAGGTCCCAACGAAAACCCATTGAAGGCCTCAGCAAATCCGCGTTGCACAGAGGCGTGCACTCCGGGAGGTTCTCCCACCTCGGGGGGAGGCGGGCGTTGCACAGCGTGGACGCAGCTAGTAGCTCCTGGCCTTACTGCTAGGAACAAGAAGCTACTAGTAACAAAAAATATCGCTACGAACGGAGCAAGGACGCTACTAGTAACGCACAAGATGCGATGTGCCAGGTCATTTGCAAAACTTCGATGTGTCCGAACTTGGGTCAATCCCATGGTCGCTACCCACAGGATCGACTCCATCGTTGCACTCCTTCGTCATCGGCATCGAAACGTCGTCGTGATCGCCTTGGAACCAAAAAAAAACAAAACACCACTGGGTTGTGGAGGAAGCAGCATCAATGCATGTCATGTTGTGGATCAAGCAGGATGATTCAGTTTTGGCACCTCTTGCAGTGGAACTTCCTCACATCGATCCCCGCTGCCCCCCCGGTGCCCAGTTGCTTCGCTTCGCTTCGCTGCGCCCAGTTGCTCTGCGAAGCTCACCGGTGCACAACTGTCGGGCAAAGTGCTCTGACCTGAGACCGGAGACCGACCACTGTCGGAAGGTGCAGGGGGACCATATGGCAACGACGTAGAAACAAAATGAAACAAATGTGTTGGGTTTTTCCCCAAGAACATACCATACAAAACAAGGCTCTTTTCTATCATCTGTCATCCAAAAGCGAGCCACAAAACTGAGCTATTCATTTCATCTGTTCAGCCTTCTGTTCCTTATGCCGAATTGTGAGGGCCTTGCCGTAGACACTCTGGGCATTTCTGTTGGTATTCCATCTTTCCATATGGGATATGTTGCAAACAAAATACAGGATATGTTGCAAACAAAATACATGCATTTAATATGCCTTTCCAGGAAATCAAATTAATTATGTGTAGAAAAAGACCAATCCACGAACCCATCCTGGCCAAAGGTTTTCTTGGATTTCAGGATTACACCATATTTCACCGGATTTCACAGCTGAAGAGCACGTTTCACAACATTAGCTCTGGATCCATGAATCCATGGATCGTGTTTTTCATCCCAGGTGGTGCATCTCACAGCCCAACTCGCAACCCATGGACGCCTTTTTTTGTCAATCAATGCAATCCTTGCCCTGGCACAGGCCAGGTCTGGCCAATTTGGGAGGAGTCTGGAGGGTTTGAAAGCTACTTTCTGCAATATTAACTCATCAAATTGAAATGCAATCCGCCTTGTTGATTCTACTGCTGGCCCCTTCACTCTCCCCCATTTCAGCCCTAGTAAGGTATTGACAATGGTTTCAGAAGACCAACGTTTCTTTCACCTCTTTTGCAGCATTGAGGAGCTTCTGCTATTTGAGCATTGCCAAAGCTCCAAGGCTTCAGGGACTTGGCCGCTCAAGACCAAGTTGTATTGCCAGGGGACTTGGCTCCGCTTCCCATCGACCATGTTCTTATGATACACAATCTTACACTACTTGAGTTTGGGCCCTGGTGGGCAATATGGAAAGTGTCAAATATGGTCCGGTCCATATATGGTCATCGATTATATGAAAGGGACAGTTCACCTTACGCCAAATGATCATTTAGTTGCCCGGGGAAAGAAATCAGCTGGCAAATATCATTGCATAATGTATGTATTCAATATCCCTTCATTCAAGGTGTGTGTGTGTGTGTTGACTGCACACACTCCCTGCTATTCAAGTGCTGCAAATCGAAAAAAGGACTGAGAACGTTTGAGAGAGCAACAGGGCTTAAACCACAGCATAACACATTTGGCACCAGAAAATCAGATCGAGTGGATTTACATGATTGAACTGATTTCATTGGCGGAAGACCTTTTGAGCCGTTGAGGTTTATCCCTTAGGAGAGAAAACCACATGTGAAAACCTGGTTCGGTCGAGCCAGCTGACCGATGGTCGACCCACATGGTCGGTTCACTGGGAGCTCCCTCTCCAAGGACGTTCCCTCCTGGAGCATACAACCCGAGCCATGAAAAAAGAACAAGTTGATTGTTTCAATAAAGTAACTTTCCAGTTCTTAAGTATAATTGTCCACATGTTCAAGCGAGGCCGTTCGAGTAAGGGAACTCACTTGAACATGCGCGTGCTCCTGCACCCTTTTCTTGTGCCATTCAACAGATTGTCCTGGTGCCAGTCCTCTGACACCGTCTGCTGCAAGAAGCCGGTGACCGGGGATATTGCACCCCAAGCCGAACGGCGCCGTTCGACGGCGCCGAAGCAAAACAAACTCCAGCACAGCCTCTGACCCCAAGACCCTAGGCCCTGCTGCGCCGGAGAAGAAAACTGTTGCGACTCCAACCACAGAGTCACTGAGTGACGACAAATCACTGGCGACTCTAAAGCCACACCTTGTGTTGTCAAGGAAGATTGCTTCCACCATGCGATTTCATGAGAATTCCCAGCTCAGAACTTCAACTCTGGCACACCCTGGACGAAGTCCTGGATGAAGCTCGGCCGCCTCGAGGCGAAGAAGAACTCCGAAGATGCACTCCGGACCTGTGAGGACTCCGGACCTGTGAGGACTCTGGTATCCTTATACTGACTTGAGTATGTCCTATTCCCAGCCCCAGTGGATGATGATGGCTCAGTTGCAGCCCTTTCCATCCAGCTCGAATCATCATAGATCGATGTGATAAGACCTTTGACCGACTGTTACAGGGTGGGCAAAAATAGGACACGCCCAACTGACCTTCTGTCCAACTGGACTCTTCTGAAATGCATTCAGTTTTCACATGCGCAGCATGCTTTCCCGCATGCGGAGCATGCGCTTGCGCACAACAATAAATAAACAGCGTAAAGCACTGGACCCACACTGGAGCTTCCAACAAGACTTGGTTGTACTCGTTATTCCTGGTCACCGGTGGCGTGAGATTCTCGGGTGGAATGGGTGGAGAAGTACTATTCAGGTCAAGCCCAGTGTCTGCCCCCCTTCTGTGCGTCCTTGGGTTGCAGGTCTTAGTCTTTCATAATTTCATTGGAGAGTCACATAGCAAGCATCAACGTCCTACCGTCCTACCGCCATGTCATTCCAAACCATATAGGGATGAATCTCACAACCGTCGCTTATCAGTCCTCCTTCAGCCCAAAATGTTCGATGAGTGGGCCAGTACAATCCACATGGAGGCAAGAGGTGGTCCTTGCACATAGTTTGTGTTCAGATTGAACACAAACAGTATGTTATCAACTAGATCCGCCAAGCTACAGTAAATTGTCTGGCGGACAAACCCGCTATAGAATCACCAACCTCCACTTCATTAACCGACCAAATCATGCATCTGACATGAGTTGTGCACTAATATGGATCATCTTCTTCTCCACAGAAAATGAAGCAATCAGAAAAACCTCAGGTCTGGACCCCCAAGTGTGGTGGTCAATGGACAACCCTTGACCTCTAAGGGACTATTAATGGACACCCGGAATCCATGGTGCTGGAGACCTCTTCAGACCTCCAAACATCCTCCCATCCGTCTCTTGCCGAAAGACATCACTGAATATCACTGGATCTTCGGATCACCCGACGTCCAACACATCACATCGCGAGGGTTCCGGACATCGACCGGTTCTTCTCGACGTCCCGTCCATCCTCGCCTGGACTTCAAGCGCCGCTCGACCTGGAGCGTGGTCAACGGTCGTTTCGGGCTGGAGAGTAGAAGGTGACCTGAGAGGTCTGACAGGTGACAGTAGAAGGTCTGCCTATGACCTCTCTTTTTCAACGTGACCTCGAAGGGGTATCAACTAGCAGGTAACCTGATACCTGTCAGGTGACCTCTTTTCAATCCCCAAAGAGTGAATTGGTACCAGTCAATCGGCCAGTTTTTATGGAGCAGACCTGGCTTGTGTGGCACAAGGGTGTGGCGCGAACCCTTGCAGGAGCATCTCGGAATCCCTGGAGTCGAGCACGTGACATGTGTTTCTGCAAGGGGTCACGGTCAAAGCGTCGTCTGGTTTGAAGGCTTTATGCATAGGTTTGTGACAAGGGCCCACAAAGGATCGTGAAAAAAAAAGCAAAGAGTAACCAGTAGCCGCTACCAGTGAAAATGAAGTGGAAGAAAGGCGGGTACTTCTGCCTACACCCCGTGTTGTTCCAGAATGACCTAAATCATGTCACCGGACCATTCGCTTCTGAAAACAGCAACACACGGCTCAGTCCTTGATAAGCTTTGCAAACGCATCAGTGATTCCCCAAGGCAGCAGCGCCCCACCATGGAAAACAAATAACAGCACAATGGAACACGCCCCGAACTCGTTCGTGCCACGGTTTCCAATCACTTTTTCTACGTGGGGATCTACGGACTTCTATGACAGGGGACCACTCGAACACCGGAGATGGTATTTCACGATCGCCAGATCTCTCCCACACCTCCATACACCTGACGCCGTGTTCACCACCTCGGACGCCGCGAGCGGAGACGTCTCCGTCTTCCCCGTCGCCGATGTCGTCCGCCGTCCGATGCCGTCCGCCTTCTCAGACTCCAAGAGCGGCTGCCCCAGTAGATCGGGCGCGGAGCCCGCGCGGTGCCACTCGTGCTCCTGGCGCCTGGGTTTGGCATGTTGGGATGGGGAAACGAAAAGCAAAGAGGTCCCAGAAAAAGCATCTGAAACGTAACGAAACTTGATTTTAGTATCCAATTTGGAGAGTTGACTCAGTGACTCAGCAACCCCTGAATTATAGACGTTTTGGAGAAAGCATCTCACATGCGGCCAGTTCTTATCCTTCAAACAAGGAATCCGTATTTCAATTCCCATATTTTGTCCAAACAATTACCCAAACACTCCATGGGACTGCCATATTTGCCGGGGTGGTTTGGGGATCAAGGTAAGCATATATGGCAGTCCCATGGAGTGTCTGGGTTATGCTTTATTGCTGAATAACCTGGGTTCATGGGCTGGTGGATCCCAGTGACCGTGTGGCTCAGATCTGCATCCCACCCAAGAAATTACAGTTCAAACTTAGACTTAGCCCAAGTAAACAGCATATTTGTGTGAAGGACCCCTGATGTTAAACCACTAATATATATATATATATACTATATAGCTAGTAGAATATACAGTACGTAAATTGCTTTAATAAATTGTAATAAGTCCTTTGTAGTGCAAACTGTATTGGCCAGCGGCACTGAACTTCCACCCAACTCGCCCACCTGCAAAACCCGTGCACCAACCGCCACCGTGCGCGAAGCGCCGCACCGCGCGCTCACCGCCGAACTCGGTGAGGCCGCCGAGGCAGAAGCCCATCACGAAGATCGTCACCGCAGCACCTGCCCATCGCGTGGTCAGTACGTGGTGCGTGGACGCCAACGGCGAGGGATGCATCCGATGTCCACGAACGGTGCCCGGATGACCGTGCTGTGGTTCGATGGGCCGCCTTTCACCGAGGGTTTTGGGGCGACGATGGGGCGCGGTGTTGCATTGGGAGCTGATTCTTGTTGTAAAGCTTGTGAGTTGTGAACAGTGGCTGACGCTCGGACTTGGAGGTGAATGTCATGACAAGGAGCAGAGTCACAGGACCAAAGATCAAGAGCATTTACTGCCTGCCAAGTTCACCGCAGGCAAAAGTAACAATACCCAAACACTCTATGGGTCTGGACATATAACAATTATACAGTATTAACCCTGAAACCACCCGAACGCAGGTAAGTATGCCAGTCCCATGGAGCGTCGATATGTTCACATGTGAACAGGCTTCTGACGGTGCTGATCGTTGCCGATCTAGTTGCGGTCCGCGACAACTGGATGAATAGGGTTGCAGATGTTGCAGCACGTGCAGGTTCCTATACAACAAACATCGAGCACCATGAGCACCAGAATTGTCCCTCACTTCCCCATCTAACGGTGTCGGTGTCGGACCTGCCCACGGAGACTTCACTGGTATCACCACACAACTGCTCGGCGTGGATCGTTCTGCTCGACTCCCGACAGGTTTTCTCCGTGCTTCATCCGATGCTTTGGAGATCTCGCCTGTGAGGGAGGGTAGCACAATCCAAGGCGACTGCTTCGCCAGATCCTTCATGATGTCCTGCCCACCAATGGGACTCGGTGTCGACAACGTGGGCCCGGGGCCCGGAAGCGGCGGGCAGATTCAAGTTGTTTTGGAGAGGGCTTCTTGGTATATTTTGGTGGAGGGCATCCAAGCACCACCTCTTACCTGGTTGCTCGGACTCTAATGCATGTCCATGGATCAGGAGCTTGATTCAGAGAAACAGCTGAGCTCTCTAGTTCACCTTTCAAGTCACCCGTAGCAAATCAATCTGCTTTATTTCCGGCTATGATCACCAACTCTATTTATGGCTATAATTGGCTAATTATTATCATTTATCATTGGCTACTGGATAGGGGGAGGAGACCGATCTCCGTTTCATTGTACACCTCACCAGCCTCACGGCAGGTTTTTGCTGCTAAAACCGGGGTGACCAACATACAGGAGCAGGGTTACAAACCGCAGCAAATGACTTATAGGGCACCAGGGCACCTCATTTACAACTTGATGGGGAAAATGTGTTGCGCAGTGAAGTTGACCCATCAAAGGGAGACAACACACAAAAGCAGCAGACTCAAAAAAGACCCACATCGCTCGCAACTGGCCACTCTCCACCACATTGATCCACGGACTCAGGGTTCCGTTCCGCAGACTCACATGGAGGGGGTCTTTATGACACCTGGTACAACCAACGAAGCAAACTGAGGAATCGAATCAAGAGCACAAAGAACAATTTGTGCCACGGGTGGTTGATAGAGGAGTCGTGTCCTGCAAAACGCGAATTGGGTGATGGTGTTGGCTCCTTGTAGCTGTAGGTGGCATCTCGGTTCGGCAGTAGCTCGCCCACCTTGGAGAAATGCCTCACCTGAGGGAGCGGGAACAGGTGGCGGGTTGGGGCAGTGAGCCTTGAAAGGTTCGGTGTCAGGTGTCCTGTAGCCAACCTGGCTTGGGAAGGCAGCTAAGCCATACTTGACATAAGAGTTATATGACACAAAACCCATGTATTCAGTTCTGATCGAAGCACAATCAGGATTGCCGGCACAAAGGCTTGGCTGACACGATTCGCAAGACTGACTGTTCATCGCCAACATGAAGATAAACATTGATCCCAAATGTTAAAGAGTGTGGTTTGTCATGGTTTGTCTATTGTGGGACCTTTAAGGCACTGCGGAGATACCTGATTCATAAGGGAACATAATTCAGGTCTCCATAATTCGTTCATTCTTGAATGGTGTGGGATGGGCTGTCACAACATCCCCAGTGATGATGAAAGAATGACGAACAGAACGTGGAAAAGCTGAACCCGTCGTGCTCTGAAAGCCAAACAGAACCTCTTCGGCCCCGAACCGAGCTCCTTCGGCGTGTCGGCCCGTTCGGCTCTGTGTCGGCTCTGTGTCGGCCCTGTGTTGGCACTGCCTTCGCCTTCCAGGCGCCAACACGTTTGAGGCCGACACCCTCCCGTTGCGGCCGAGGCACGTTCGGGTCATACAAGTAGCCTGGGAGAGGTCTGCGAAGGCCGTAGCGACGGACCGAGGCATGGAACTGGCCAGTTCTTCAAGGAACGAAGGCCAAATACCGCGTTCGCCCATCGAGGAGGAAATCGCAATGAAACTGGATGATCGCCCCCTTTCAGTGGAGGCCACCTTCGTTTTCGCGTTTCACCTCGGACTCGGTGACGGGGTATAACGGGTCACCATGGGGAGCCCTGCTTGGTTTGTGCATCTGCCGCCTTTAGCGTTTGCACCCTCTGGCTTAAGTGGGTTCTTGACAACCAAGGGTCGAACAGGGTTTGCAAGTCAAGTGCTCCAGGCTGAAACATGCGCCAGTGTTTTGCATGACCCAAAGCAACAGTGGCAGTCTTTTAAACCGCCAGGTTCATGCCTGGATGATATGGAACCTGAAAACCACTGGTTTGTGGAGGAAGCTACTCTTCCAAAGGTCCATTTTCTTCTTCCAGCTTAATCTATCTCCTCACCCTGTGATGTGTTCCAAACACCACCAAGGCGCGAAAGAAGGGCACTTTGCTGACGCTCGGCTGCCAGAACTTTGCTAAGATGCTCGACTCAGGTGGCCCTCCATTTGGCCCCTCCGAAACCGGGCGAAGGGTGGCAGGTATCACGGTATCACCAAGGTACCAAGCAGTGCTGCAGCTTTGATTTCACTTGTTGGATGCAATTCTCCGAGCTTCCATAGAATCTCTTCGAGGGATTAGAGTGAATCTGGGAACAGTATCAATCTAGGGGCTTAGAGTACAACACCAGGTGTCGCCTGCTTAAAGCATTGAAAGACCAGAAGAAATCCTAAGAATTGATAAAGTTTGGTTTGGGGATTCAATGTTCTTTTGATGATGCAGGACTATATAGAAGATTCGCTGACGTATCACTAGGTGTTGAAAAACCTTGATAAGGGCAAAGCATAGTATACTCAATTTTGGCACAACAACAGCTTCCGAAAAGCTAGCATAGAAACAGGTAGACTCAGGTAGACCATCAATCTGTGATAAAGGATCGTCATCATCTTTCGGGCGGACCATCCATGTTTGTGAGGCGGGTCAACAAGTAGATTCTCAGCCCATACCGTTGGCCCCCCAGTTGGACCGGTTGAGCGTGGAATCCTGGTTGAGGTCCGAGGATGTTCGTTCAGCTCCCATCGGCGAGCGTGACGCCTCAACTTTGAGCTTGTAAGGCAAGCGCCCTTGCTCATGGATGTGTCGCACGAAGAGCCCTGTCTGGTTGATGGCATACCTCGAAACAGAGTCAGGTGTCGTTCGGTGAGCAAGCAGCTTCAAGAATCAAGAACTGCGTCTTCAGTATCACCAAGTGCTTTTTCTGACCGGCCAAACCTGGGATGCAGCTGTGGGTCCTCCTGAATGAACCCACGAGTCCCGAGTTCGCAACCGGACTCCAGTGGCGGCGACATTGTTGGATTTGCCATAATTCATACTCTATATAATATATCACATTTTCTGGGCCAACCAACTGAAGAACATACTCCGACTCCCTACTCCCTCATCATTCAAAGGCAGGCACAATAGTTCAATAATCAAATAATGGCCACCATCAACCTCAAAACCCACAGATTTGCAAGCTTTAAATCCCGGATCTGATCTGCAAGGAATCCTTGTTGTTCACAATGAACGGACACCGTATCCATCTCTCTCTGTGCTAGGACGAAGGACACATCTCCGAAGAACTTTTATAAAAGCTTATCACAGAAGTACTGCATAGACATGCAAGATAAATATAATAAAGGCAGCTTTTGATTCCCCAGCATCGTTTATCAACTGTGGATTCAACAAGTCAAACCATTCTGCATCTGCATTTCCCCTGCCCCAAACTCCTCTACAGCTTCCAGGTTACGCTCCTGCCCATAAAGGCTCGCCCAGCCCACAGCCTTCTGAGTACATGGGAAACCTCAGCAGTTGGCAACAGTATTGCCAAATTAGCACAAACACAAGTGGAATGATAAGCACAATCACAACAAACACCAGAAAAAAAATCACCCGGGGAGTGTTGAAGAAAGGCTTCCTGTTTCATGAGCAAAAGGGCAGTGCTGGACAAGCTGAAAGTTTAGTCGATGCTGAGAATGGAGAGTAGATTCTCAACGAGCATATAGCATGTATTTATGAGTTTTCTCAAATGTTTCCCTTTCTGGTCCATTACTGCTACTTGTACTTGGGTTGAATATGATTTGATGGAATAGAGACCAATAGTAACCATGTCGCCTGGTTTTGTAACCCAACAGCATCACAAAACGTAATCCCTGGCTTTTAACCGCAAAACAGCAGTACCGCCCACCGTGCGCTTGACGCGTGGCTTCGCCCAACGGCGAGCGAGCGAAAAGAGTGGTGCCAAGGAGCACGTGCCACATCCCATGATAGACCTGCATCAACATGAGACGTGATGAGACGTGATGAGACAGGAGACGGATGTTTAGGGTGATGTTTAGGGCCTCCCCACTTAAGCTGTTTCTGGACTATGATGATGTCATGGAACCCAAGTTCTTGTACACCCAAAATACCCGCCTGGGAGAAGGAAAGGAGACCGATGCATTTTCAGGGACTCCATAGTTTCACTCTTGAGACCACCCCTTGGAATAAATATCACCATCATCTTGAAAAGCCCAACGCTCCAAATGATCTCCATAAATTATAGTTCTTCCACATCTCTTATCCATTCCTTCACCCACTCACCTCCATGAAATCCAGCCCTCCGTTTCCCCCCAACCCCCTCCTTTCGACCCCCCCCCCCACGTCGCTCTCGCGCCTCCAAGATCACGTCGCAGCCGCCCTGCGCCGCATGCTGCGCCACGCGCACCGAGTCGCCCAGGATCGACTCGCTGGCGCCCACGGCGAAGTACAGCGGCGGCAGGGAGCCTCCGCCGTGGCGGTCGAAGCGGTGCCGGACGGAGGACGGAGAAGGTGGGAGAAGGTCGAAGGACGGGAACTGCAGGGAGGAAAAGTTGAGAAAGGTTTGTGTGTTCCTCTCTACCTGCACTGGGCTCAAGATACCACAAGAAAGGGAACAAGTGAACATGTTGTCCCTCTTTTGGGGGGGCGTGGGTTACTTTTTTAAAAATTGATTTTTGGTGTTTGGGGTGTCCCTCCATACTTTCGAAGTGCGTCATGTCATGAGCATATTCATATATAGTAGCCGCTTGGGGCTCACAAACTGGCTCACAATGCTTGGAAGACTGGTGAAAACGCCTGGTCCAATGCATACTTACAAGAGTGCATGTTGAGGTGTAGCAAGCTAATTCAGTTGCCAGAAGAAACCTTTAAAGACTTGATCCCAGCTTCGGACTTCGAGCTTAGTTACTTGATCCGGACATAATAAGTGTGGAATTGCAACTTTTCCCGGAGAGAAAGCTGGACCATCAATGAGTAAACCAAGTTTCAAAGTCTAGCTGAGACCGTCTTCGAAACCATGTAAGCCAGGGAGATCAGTTTATCCTCAACCCTACTACCTTCAGTTGTGAAGTTAATGAAGACTTCATTGGAAGAAATTCGAGGATTTCAACCCAAGTCCCCAGCAAACTGTGCACACAAAGGACTCTGCAGCGCTATGGTTTGGGTTTAAAGCTCGACTCACCAGAGTCAAGAAACATTTGCAAAAAAAAACTGAAGTGGAAGAATGGCAGTGATTGACTTCAACATGTCTTTCCGGTATTCCGATTTCACATATGATTGCTTTGTTCCTTTTTGTTTAAGTGCATGCATGCATCTTTTGTTCATGTTCATGTGTACCTTTTTCACAACAAAATAAAACAACTTAGTTCCCTAGTTATTTTTTGCGACATGCAAGTTCTTTCCTTGTGTTGTTTTTCTTTGGTTGGTTGGTGAAAGGCGCCAAGGTGTCATCCTACAGGGAGATAACTGCTGGAAAGTGGTGCTAGATAGCTTCTGGTACCTTGGAAATTGGGTCTGAATCAAATCTCTCCGAGTACATCATGTACATCCGGTATACCATCTATTGACTCTTGTTGAAACAAAGAAAATGGTACAAATCGGTATGAACAGGAAGGAAGGAGCATGTCCAAGATGCGAACGTCACTTCCCCGTTGCTCAGTCGTTGCGAAGCGACGAGGATGGGATGAATCCTGATTGAAGGTCTATTCAGTGGGCGCAACAGGTCACATGAGATACATGTTCACCAGTTTCAGGTATCCTGCATTCCTGAACTTGAAACCCCTGTTAGCCATCGAACCTGAAACGCCGGCAGGCGCAGCACAAAAGCGCCTGCGAAGTCGGCGGGTTGGGCGAAGAAGGGCGAGGCGATGGGGTCGGTCTGCAGTTCAAAGTCGCCCCCAAGGTAGTCCACCTCAGGTGGAGTTCAGCTGCGACAACATGCCCCCTTTTGGAGGGGGTGGAGGCGACGGATCACCAAGGGCGGCGGCTGGGGGTTTCGTTGCGCAGCCCCACATGTCCGGTTCTATCTGTGGCGAGGTGCCGCGTTGCCATTGAAGGCATCCGCGTTTTCCGGCGTCACCTCCTGGAAAAGGATGTCCCCTGTGTACATTGTCAGCTTGGAATCATCCTGCACATGACAAGAGTTGTGTCTCAGGGAGAGCAGTAGTCTGTCTCAGGCGACCGACGACAGACCCGGGCCAAAGACGAAGCATGAAGGATCAGCGGGTCATGGGTGTGAAACGATACAACGGGAAAAAAATAACATCAAGAGGTTTATATAGGCCGAGGCCTGTTGCACACCTCTAAACGAAGCATTGCAAAAAGACTTGGGGCTTGCCACAGAAGCCACCAACATTGTTCCAGGAACAAAAACACATCGATTCTGACTCTATACAGTAGAAGCACCACCCAAAGGGTGGTGGAGAGGACCCCGAAGAACAAGGTGTTTTCCTTCCGATTGGGTGGTGCTGGTACGTACTCACCTATACTATACCATAATATACGCATATAATTGTATATAATTGTAGTAGTCTCTCTGATCTGTCTCGTCCCAAAGCCGCGCCGTGAGTCGCATGAGCTAGCGGGCCCAAGCACTCCACCACGTGCGTCACGAACTGAGCGACCGCATTGCACCACGTCGCTTTGCACGGATTAGACGAAAGTCATCGGTTTGGGGAGCTCATGATATCCTGATCGCATCAACACATCGTGCTGTGAGGATGGCCTGGAACTTCCCAGAGCCCTGGATCTTTGAAAAAGCATTCGAGTAGTACTCCGGGGTGTTGCACATCCTCGGATGCAGCTGGTATGATATGTTTGGGCTTGATAGGTTTCGTAGGATCGGGGAATCACATGTCCTCAGCATTTGGAGGGTGGCAAGAAGCCCTCAGTAGTGTGCGGTTTAAAAGACTACACAGCATTGCAGTCTCAGTATACATTAAACATTGAAAACAATGCCTTTGAACGTCTCGGCTGATCAGTCATCTAAATCATTCCGTTCAACATGGTCAAACATGTTCCCGTCGTCCCAGTGGCAAGTTGGTCCACGGACTGAAGAAGAAGGCACCAGCCAGCTTTTGGCCCAGCAACTGAGGCCTTTTTTTGCACCAAACACACATGGCCGTGCTTGGTCTTCTGGTGGTCCGGTAAGTGTTGCGTGCCCAGGGTGATTTTGACACGTTCACACACTTGAATGAATTTTAGTATACTTGGGTGAAATATGTGGGACAGCAACGTGTTTGTTGCGAACAAGGCCTATCCAAGTCCAATGTACACCGGGACCTTGGGGCTTCTACAGGGCGAGTTTCAGATTTGGCGTATAAACATATATATATATATTAAACTATATTCACTATAGCACCTTGAGCCAGCATCTTCTTGATGGACTGGGAGTTTTGTTGGTTCTCCAAGAATACCGCACGTCGAATAAACAAAGTTATTTGTATCTCTTGCGTTTTCTTTGAGTGACATGGGGTGGGACTCTACCCAAGCTGACAATTGTCTTTGTGAACCAATCCCCAGCCCACGGTGGTAAGGGAAGTTCCTAGCAAGTGTCTGGAAAAACATCGGATATTAATCTCCAAACTCTAGACGGAAAGAAGAGAAACAAAGAGTTGCAAGAACAAAACAACATCGAAACACAACAATAATACAAAGAACATCAAAGAACCACTACCTCACGTTTGAGGACGCATCACCAATCAACCCCACTGAGATTGCCCACTTGGGCGTCCCACCAGCCACCCCGAGCCTCTTCGCCAAGGTCAACACCAGTGACATCGTCGTGCCACCGCCCGAGCTGTCACCACCCACAAAGAGTGGCACGCGCTTGGCACCGTGCTCCTCGTCACAGCCCTCGAAGGGGCCGTTCAAGCTGAGCCATTGCCTCGTGTCGATCGTGCGGCCTTGTGCAGCCTTGCGCAGCTCCAAATCCATCTGAAGGGGAGTCCCTGCTGAACATCCGACGTTACTTGGCCCCTAAAATCCCGAACTACATCCTCAAAGGGTCTATTGAATGACACAGTCCACCCCAATGGGACCCCCCGCCGCCCCCGAAACCAAGCGAGACAGGGGTTAAACCATAACTATTTTGGAGGTTTTATCTATCACTGACTGTGGGGCCTTAGATTGACGGGTAATTGTGCCTCCTTGGGTCCCTGTTGCGCCCAAACACCTAGCCATTCCTGCCCCCTTTTCCATTTCCCGTGGCCATCTCCAATGCTTTTTCTGGCATGCAAAAAGGATTTATTTTCTGGAAGTTTTGGCAACGAAATGTTGGAGAAGTGGGTTCTTTTTGGCCAGAGATTTAGGATAGAAAAAATTGAGTTCCTTATCATCCTCAACCCCTGTGCGTAGAAGACTGTTCAGGGCTTATGCAGGAATGATAGCAGCAAGGAATGAGAGCACGAAGTTAATTCTGCACCATGTCACTAGACATACTAATTGTTAGCCTGATTCAATGCTCCTATAGACGGGCATTATTTGCTTGGAAGAAAACGGTTCCGAAATTGCAAAGGCTTGCCAAACAGCGGTCCTAATCATTCTCTGCACCATGCTCATCCACATCTCCAAGGTCACGGTTGTTTTTGGAAACTAAAAGGTTGTATTCGGAAACTAACATGGTTGTATTCGGAAACTACACGATTGTATTCGGAAACTGGGACAGTTGTATTCGAAAACTGGGACGGTTGCATTCGTAAACTGCAGGCATCTCAGAAACTACTCAGAGCAGCACCCAGACTATTCATATATGAATAGATCCAGCGGAGAATCACACCTCCGGTACACAAAAATCTCCGCAGGAGAACATGTGGTCAGAGTCTGAACTGTATTCATGTCAATACTGCCACAACATGTTGTTGATATGGCCTGTGTACAAATGTGCACGGAACCATTTGAGCACACCCGTCTGAGATGCAGGTGAGCAAAGAGTCTTTGGTCGTCTTGCCACACAATCGTCTGGCCCTTTTTGCGGGCTGGGAACCAAAGGGGCTCAATTGGTTTCATATATCTCAACAAGTTGAAAATTATGGAATTGACTTATATATACCCTCATGCATATCGAGAAGTATCAACCCGCAAACGAAGGTATACCTGTTATATTGTATGGGGTTCTGACTAAGCATTGCTCCGATTGCAGCACGCCAGCACCAAAGAGATTGAGTGCTTGTCTAGCACCAAGACCAAAAAAAAAGCTTGCTTTGGACACGGACATTCGCTTCCATTCCCAAATGGCCACCGCGCATCAAGCTGAGCTTGAGGTCATGGAACTTCTGCCGCATCATTTTTGGGAATTTTGCAAAGTCTTCTTGGCTGGCTCTCTGCATGTGCCAGCAAAGACGCTTGTTTTCTTTGCTGGTCTTCCACCACTGGTTGCATATCCTCAGAAACAAGGACATGCGTGAGTCCAAGGTTTCAGAAGTCCAAAGTTAAAAACGAAGTTAAAAGAATTCTTTTAAAGATCAACATGCAACTCAGGAACAGAAACGCTTGTCCACGCCGCTCAGGTGCAGAGTTGGCAGAAAATATGCGAGGAGACATCGCGCATCCATGCTTTGGACAGCCCATATTTGAAGTTGATCGTCTTTGGCACTGTTGCTTTCGCACGGGTGGCTGCCTCGCAAGGTGAGCCTCGAATGTAGCGATTCCGAAACACCACAGCTCAATGAGTCTTCCGTCACTTCCGTGGCTTCCACAGCCAAAGAGCTGCTGCCACTGATCTCAGTTGCTTCCCAAAACTCGTGTAGGACTTGGAGGGCTTGCACGAAAGAGACTTCGATGACAATTCTGCTTCGCTTGCAGGTGCGGAGGTGATTCGTCTCCTCGTATAGGACTGAGAGGTTCCACGGAGGAGACAAGCTCACCTAGCGCTGAGACTTCAGAGTCTGAAACGTCAAGCGCTGGCGCCAAACAACGCTGCAGTATCCACCGCTGGAACAGGAACAGGCCTCAAAGGAGTAGTGCGCGTATCAGCACAGCTCGACTCTTCGAATGAAGAAACACATGGCTCCGAGGGAGAGACGGGCGTAGTTGGAGCAGAGCAATCTAAAGGCATACAGTGTGGTCAGCCTGGAGACGTGACACCAGCCGCCTAAACAACACATAGGTAGCTGCCTGAAGTTCCGCGGACAGAAAACCTTTGGAGCACACATAGTCTATCCAGCGCTGCCGAAGAAGCGCTGCGTGAGCCACGAGGACATCGAACTTCACTATAGGGCTCATTCCTGCAGCGAAACCAAATCACGTACACAAGAACCCGCCCAATCAAGATCCGGCTGGCAAAGAACCTTAGTTGCTCAGCACACATGTTGAATTGTTTCTCCCGAAAAAACTTTCTGCAACCTGAACAGCAAATATAGATCGCCGAACATGTCTCCACTTTGCAACCCTGAGACTCTGTGCAAATCATCGACATAGAAAACGCTAACGGTCCACCACGACAACGGGTCATTGCGCGGCGTCTGCGCACGGGCCAAGCGCAAGAGCAAGACATGCGCTAGCGCGGGTGTGACCGTGTGGTCCATCTTCACTGCACTAAAACAATAGCTTGTGGTCCCTGCAACAGTCATGCCCATCTAGCTTGCATCAACACTCAAACTCTCTCTCAGGGGCCCCCTCACTCACCTCATCAACCTCAAACTGTGACCGTGTCTCTCATCAGCATGCTCGAAGCCCAGAATCATATAAGCGACAAGCGATGTCGGTTTGCTATCGACTTGGGTCATGCCACAAACATATGAACTTGTGGTTCATCGTGGAGCAGGGCCCTAAATCACAGAATGTGTCAAACCTCCTGACAGCAAAAGCCGCAGTTCTTTGATGTGTTTTGAAAGGGATGCGGTTATTTAAACGGTGACAAAATCATGAGGGAATTCTGCAACATCCGATTCGGAACGGTTCTTTTCTCAGAGAGCGCCCCACTGCTTCAAGATCCTCGCTGGCAATGCCTTCATTGGCCCCCGTGCAGTGAACACTGCGTGCACCAGAGGTGAGATCTTCATCTTTTTGGCCTCTTCGAGGCTGCTATCGAGCTGTGCGCAAGCAGGCTCAAACTTTCGATCCTCTTTGCGTAGTCCCCTTCAGCAAGCTTCTGAGGCAACTTTGCAATCGCATCTTTTCCTCAGGGCAGCAGAAGAAAGATGCTCAACAGCAAAGCAGCACGTAAGGAAACACTAGCTGCGCGCCACAACCCATTTCACAATACACGACGATATATGTATCTCTCGGCGATATCACATTGAAACAGGCGTCGTGTGCACACGAACACCCACTTTTTGAGCAGTCCTGACCATTGATGGGGTCTGCACTGACAGAAGGCAAGCCGCGACGAAAAAGTTCCTGAACGTCGTCTGCGTGTGGTCTCTTTTCCTCTTTCGTTCGGCGGCTTTGGCTTCTGCTCTATGTTTCAGGCACTGCGTGGTGATCCAAGCGGACTTGGGCGGCAATTCTGCACTGCGGCCGGCTTTCTTCATCCGCAAAGCATTCTCTCCGTTGTCTGTGGAATCCGGGCGAGTACGCTTTGTCTGTTCACTGAGCTCGGAGAACCGGATTGTTGCGTCACCATCCAGCCAAGCCAGGATGAGGACGTGGACGCAAGTGCCACATCGCGTGCGTTGGAGGCATGTGCAGATGAAGTCAAGGCCTTCGGTTCTTTTTTGCAACAGCATGGCTACACACAAGTGACCGAAAAGACCTCGGAATTTGGCTAGCTGTAGTCTGCCATAACTTTCATCACTTGCTCCTTCGTCGTGCGCGGTTGATCAGGGCACAAATGCCAAATGCGTGTTCTCGTCGATGGTCAGGCTTGGCAAGTCCACTGACATGGCCCACTGCGCTTTTGATTGGCCAACCGTGCCAATCTCCCACGCACGCAGTGCATTGAGCATTCTCACGCATGAACTTGAACTGGATGAACTTTGAAGCAGGAGGCGTCTTGCGCTGCTCATCATCCTGGCTTCTGAGGTTGGTCGATCCGACGTCGACATGAATGGCAAGTCGAATCCTCTGTCTTTTTGCAAACGTACCAAGTCTAGTCCTCCCTGCACATCAAGCGGTCACTTTGCATCGGCTTCCCATAGAGGAGTTCAGAGGAATGCCGTTTGCATGCTTCTTCCGGCTGCCAATCCTCACAAAGGATTGTCGGAGGGACTGCCCACGAGCCGTAGTAGGCTCAACCTTGGCTGACACCTCTTCAAGGGCCAAGCAGGAGTAGTTGGACGGTAATCCCTGTTTGGCCAACCCATTTGCTCGCTCCAAGGCCTGTTAGTTAGGGGGGCCTGTCCCGGAGGCCAGTCCTCCATCGTGCTGTCCAGCAGTCTCGATGCTTTGACCAATTGCCAATACGCAGCAAGTTCGTTTCACTGCAAGTGGCCATGCTCGACAGCCACCTCAAGGAAGTTGTCCCAAAACACGTCAAAAAAAATACTGTGGTAGGCAGCACCCTAAGGCACCCAAATTAGTAATTTTACTAACCATAAAAATATACGTAATTTTTTGTTTTACTAAGGAAAATTTACGTACAAATTTACGTAAATGTAATAGTAAATCCAATCTAGGTTATGAGTAAATTTTTTAGGTTATGAGTAAAGTTTTGCGAGCATGCTTTTGAAGCAGAAAATGTCTCAATTTATGTGAGTTGGCTTTGTCCAAAGAGCAAGGTTTTCTACAGGACAACATGTACTTGAGGATATTTGCGCCGTGGATTTTTGTTTTTGTTGACTGAGCATGCCAGGAGGTGTGGACTTTGCCTTTACTTGAAGGGATTGCATTTACTTGAGCATGTGTACCCTTCTTGACTTGAACAAAACCTTTTTACTTGAGGGTGTCTGCTTGATTCTGGGATTGTTTGTAAGTACACTTTACATGAGGATGCCATTCAACTTGGAA